TACTCTGGTAACAGGTGACTGTGAAACTCACAGCTTATTGGCAGTGAAAGTTCATTGCTATGGGTTGGGCCACCATTCTCCACCTTGAATCTCTACCATCTGACAGGGCCTCCAAAGTCTCTCAGCAGGAATGAGAGCAGTGGTTCTTCCCATTTTAAAGTACCTTGTCTGGAAGGTGACCAATGTCAGTCTTGCCTGAGGTCCACTAGCTAGAATTATAGAGACTCAGCAGATTTTTGGTGAGCATCTCTCTCAACAAATACAAGTTGGAAGTCACCTGCAAGAGGAGTTGGGAAGCAACCAAATATATCAAGGAAAAAAGAAAAGGACTCATGAGAAGTTTGGGAAACAGCAATGAATAGATGCTAGCAGTGATTGGATCTCAATTGGAAACGGGTGCAGTTCAGATGGCCAATGCAATGCCAAGCTGAGGAATTAAGATTTTGCCATAGTTTGGATCTTGAATGTCCCCAAAAGCCCACGTATTGAAGGCTTGGTCCCCAGTGGCACTACTGGGAGTTGGAGCCTAGTGCCAAAATAGTAAGTCACTGGGGACATGCCCTGAAAGGAAAATATTGGGACCTGGATCCCCCATGCTGCTTTCTGCTTCTTGGCTACCATGAGGTAAGCAGTTTGGCTCCACCACAGGCTTCCTACCATGATGTCCTTCGTCACCACAGGCTCAAAAGCAACGGAGCCAGCCAACCCTGGACTGAAGCCTCTGAAATGCTAAATCAAAACAAACCTCTCCTCTTTGCAAGGGATTTATCTCAGGAATTTTGTTAAGTAAGGCTGGCTAACACAGACTCACCTTCTGGAACTGGGGCACTACTAGCAAGCAGTGAGGTAGCTCTTGTCTGGGCCTCTTGTAGCTCCATTCCTGACACAAAGCCCCTGTGGATATTCAGCAGACTCATTTGGGGCTGTCTCTGGTCTCCAGACCTGCCTCTCACTCTCTCTGAAAATTGTCAGAGCAGGGTAGCCGAAAGCATCTATTTGGGGCTTGGGCTGCCCAGGTTTAAATTTTGCTAGCAAATTGCTTTGCTTCTTTGCCATTTAGTTTTCTTGTCTGAAGTAGCAGGATAATCGTAGCTAATATGAAGTGATCATACAGATCAAATGAGTTAAATAATGTGTTAGGTGAGCCAGGTATGGTGGCTCATGCCTGGAGTCCCAGCACTCAGGAGGGTGAGGAAGGAAAATCACAAGGATGAGGCCAGCCTGAGCTACATAGAAAGAGGCAGAGAGGAGGGAGGGAGGGCTCTGGCACAGAGAAAGTGCTCTGTAAATTCTAGTGGTCATTATTTGGGCATATGCCAGTCTTCTTTGTCCCAGATCCTGGTTTTCTGGCATCAAATGTGCAAATGTGCAATTGATGGCAACACAAAAAGCTCCGTCCTCCTTTAATAAGATTTTAGGCCATTATATTAGCACCTGTGAGACACATTTAGAATAACCCCAACCCAAGTGTCAGTGGTGCCACACGGAAGAACATTGCTCCATGTCCTCTGCCCATCCCATTACCGTCCAGCCCTCGTGGGCTTGTGGGGGATGGGGCCAGTGGGAGCACGGAGTTGTTAGCATAAGGGTGGAGGTGTCTACATGGGGTGAGGAGGGGGTGTCTCTTCTATATTCTTGGATCTATAGCATAGATAAGGCTCATCTTGGCGTGACCAGTGGGTCTGAAATCACTGTTCCCAGATAAAATACAGGACTGTGATGTCCTGGCAGTCACCAAATCTGACCAGAGTGGGGCCTGATGCTGCTCTGGAACTGCATCCTCCTCGCAAACCACCGCCCATGATACAGGGACCATCACCCCTGTTCCAGCACCCTGGCCCCACCCCTCACATGGGCATAGGGACGCCTTGTTGGGGGTGAGAGGGTAAATGGAATGCACTTCACCTCTACAAAATTGCAAAAGGAGTGAAAACTCTGACTTTCATATGGCTGAAAGTTGGCAGACTATTAAAGATGATGGAATTTAATTATCATTGCACATGTCTGGGTGTTTTGTAAAGAAGCCAGAGATGTTTGGATGGGTGAAACATAAGTTATAAAACATGACACGTGTATTCTATAAAATTTGCTTTCCTTATAATCTTGGAGAAAATGATGTTGATACACTAGAGATTGTCACATAACTTGTGTTCTATTGGCAGTAATCATCTAAAAAGCAAGGGTTGGCAACTTTTTCTATAAAGTACCCGGCAGCAAAATGCTTAAGTTTCGTAAACCATATGCTTTCTGTGAAAGCTATTCAACTCTGCCACTATGGCACAAAAACATACATAAACAATATATAAATGAAGCATCAAAGTAGCTATTTTCCAAAAAATCTTTATTTACAAAAAACCCCAGCAAGGGCTGGGGATTTAGCTCAGTGGCACGGCATCTGCCTCACAAACCCAAGGTCATGAGTTTAATCCCCGGTACCAAAAACAAAAAAAAAAGTGACTACATTTGGCCTGCAGGATTAAAAATAAAATGTGATTATAACTGCAAGGTATAAAAACTGAAGATTAAAAAAACCCTGAAGATATTTTATGAAAAATATACATTAAAATAAAAATGAAAAATGTAATTATTTTAATAGATTTCATTAAGTTGTCTTTTAAAATACTCAAAATCTTCTACTAAAATGAAATATAGAGGTGGGTGTGGTGGTGCACGGCTATAGTCCTAGAACTCAGGAGGCTGAGACCAAAGGATTGCCTCCAGTTTAAGGCCAGCCTGGGCTACATAGTGAGCTCCAGAGCAGCCTGAACTACATAGTGAGATCCTGTCTCAAAAAACATAAATGTATATATGTATGTATATATATACATATCCCATATATGTGGAAGAATATAGAAACAACTCCAATTCATTCAACTATTTGATCTTTGACAAAGGGGGCCAAAACACACTACACTGGAGTAATGATAGCCTCTTTAATAAATGATGTTGGGAAAACTGGCTATCCACATACAGAAGATTGAATCTAGACCATTCTCCCACCATATACTAATATTCAAATCAAAATGGATCAAAGAACTAAATGCTAAACTATAAACAACCTGCTGAAAGACAAAATAGGTAAAATGTTTAAAGTCATAGACATAGGCAAGGACTTTCTGAACAGAACCCAGTTGGACACAAAATAGCTCCAAGAATCAACAATTGAGATCATATTAAATTAAGAACCTCCACAGCAAAAGAAACAACAGAATGAAAAGATAACCTACAGCATGGGAAAAACTTCTTGCTAGCTGTTCCTCAGACAGAGGACTCATATCTAGAATAAATAAAGAACTCAAAATATTAGACCCCCTCAAAGTAAAAGACCCAATCAAAAAATGGCAAGCAAGAGCCAGGGATTTAGCTCAGTTGCACTGCACCTGCCTCACAAGTGCAAGATCCTGAGTTTGATCCCCACTACCTACCCCAAAATGGCAAGCAAAATGAATAGATACTTCACAGAATAAGAGATATAAATGGCCAATAAACACATGAAGAGATGCTCAACATTGCTGGCCATTAGAGAAATGCAAATTAAAACACTGAGATTCCATGTCACTCTGGGAAGAATGGCTACCATCAAGAAATTAAACCATGACAAATGTTGGACAGGCTGCAGGGGAAAAGATACCCTTCTACATTGTTGTTGGGAGTGCAAACTGGTACTACCACTGTGGAAATCAGTATGGAGATTCCTCAAAAAACTAAAAATAGGAATTCCATTTGACTCCCTTTTAAGCATCTTCCTGAAAGAGTTAAAGACCTCATATTACACTGATACCTATGTTTATAGCAGCACAATTCATAATAGCTAAATCTTGGAAGCAGCCTATATGTCCATCAACAGATAAATGGATAAGGAAAATGGGGTGATTACACCCGGGGTGGAGTACCATGTTGCCAGAAAGAAAGATAAATGAGTCAGTTGTAGGAAAATGGATGCACCTTGAGACCATAATGTTAAGTGAAATCAGGCACACAAGCTTAAATATCGCACTGTTTCTCTTATGTGAGAAACCCAGAGTAAAAACAAAGAGCAAAATAAAAGATAATAGGAAGTAGGAAGATAGATTATTCTCAATGAGGAAGGGGAATCAAAAAATGGAGGGAGGAGGAGGGAGGGAAGGGATAAGGGATGGGAAAGAGGAACCGGTATGTGTTACCTACAAACGTTGGACAATGTTGTCCCAATTCCACACAAGGAATTAAGATGTGCTATGTACATGTACCAACTTCCCACAAGAAGTATATGCATCACGTACTACACATGTGTACTAATAAACCAAAACCAAAATATAAATTATGATTAATGAATACCAACATTTAAAGAAAGCAGACATGTATTAATTTTACACATATTTAATTAAATCTTATTAAATAATTTTATAAGAATAAAATTTCTACTTGAAATCTTTTTTTTTTTTGAGACTGGGTCTCACTATGTAGTCTAGGCTGGCCTCAAACTCACAGTGATCCTCCTGCCTCAGCCTCCCGAGTGCTGGGATTACAGGTGTACACTACCACACTCAGCAACAATTGAAATCTTTAAAAATCTTGAAAAAAAAGAAGTAGTATCTTGGTGCCTAAGTGTTAGGTCTAGACCTCTCTAGTCATAGTTTAAGAGTATTATGAATTGTTAATGTTGCAAAATGTTCCTCAGCACGTTGGTGAGTAATAGTTGCAAATGCTATGCAAACTAATGAGTACCTGAGGAGCCATGAGTTAGATATAACATGAAAAAAAGAGAGAGAGAGAGAGAGAGAGAGAGAGAGAGAAAGAAAGAAAAAGCAAGCAAGCAAGCAAGCAAGAAAGAAAGAAAGAAAGAAAGAAAGAAAGAAAGAAAGAAAGAAAAAATTTACACTAAACGCAACTGGGAAACAGGGCCTTCTCACGCTGGAATCTTACATCTGCTGTGTTAGAGGAGAGTTGGATAAGTTAATTCATTTCTATTTGTTCTTGTTTCTGTACTTTCACTTCTCCGCCCTCCCTACACTTGGAAGCATCTCTTTCTGATGTTGGCAGAGACTCAAGCGAGAAACTTTCCAGGCATTTGGAAGCTGTCACCTTTTGTTTCAAGAGTATGGGGCAAGAGATGTGGAGCAACATTTCCCAGGTCAGGACGGGTCATGTCTTTTGGGTGGGTGTTGACAGTTACGCGTTGCTTATACCATGCTAAGAATAGGGCCTTGAGTGAAGGGGAGCTCGTGTGAGCTTTGACAATTTCTTATGTCTATCCCAAGTCGTTATTTTCTTCTTTGTATTATTTTATTAGAGTGTTTCAATATTCACTTGGATTGTTTTTGAATCTGGTGTGGACCAAAGAGTGCTATTTTGTGCAATAATGAATTTAATTTTAAAAACGTGTTTGTAGTAGGCAGGGCCCTGTAGAGAGCAGAGTACAGCGTAGGGCCTATTGCCAGGGTTTAAGAGCATCCTGCTTGCAGGTCCTTCTGGGCAGGCTCTCTGAGAGCCCTGGGGCCCAGCACTGGGCACAAACAGCCTTCCTTTTAGTCCCCCACCCCTGCTTACTACTGTAGATTAAACCCAAGGCCTCACACATGCTAGCCAAGTGCTCTACCACAAGGCTACATCCCCAGTCTTCCTAGCCTCTTAATCCCTGACTTTCTTCTCCATGTATCCATAGTTAATCAGACAAACACCTCTACCCTTTAGAAAAATTCTTCATGTGCAATTATTTAGCTAGTTTCAGAGAAAAGCTCTTTTCTTTCTGTTCTGTGTTCCCTTTTGGGTCCCCATTTTCACCCACTGAAAACCTATCCATTTTTTCAGGGTCTGGCTTGAAGGGCTCCTCCTTAACGACATCTGCCAGATGTTGATAGCTGAAAGGGTCTTTCTTTTACTTAGGCCTCACAAGTTTTTGTTTGAATCAGACAGAAATGCCTGTGAAAATCTAGTTTACTCTACTAGCCACAGTTCTTCCTGTGTCTTTGCAGAGGCTAGAAATGTAGTGTGTTTTAAAAGTAAGCCATGTATCTCCTTGCCCAATCTCTCCTTTTACGACAGCCAGGAGAGGTGCTGGGAGCTAGCTTGTGGTCACATTAGGTCATCATTCCTGGGTGAGGTGCACAGTGATCAGAAAGCCATTTAGAATGTACTCTAGAGTAGTCAGTCATGTGCTAAAAGAGGAAAGAGGCAATGGACTAAATCTAACCATGGAAAATGTAATGGGCAAGCATTTAAAGCCTCTACTTGCGTTATTAAAATATGAGTGTATTGCTGGGTCTTAAATACCAGGACTTTTGGAAAAAAGATCCATTTAATTCCACCCTGGCCAAATTATCCCCAGAATATTGTTTTCAGTTCTGGCTATAAATAACTTATTAGGTAAATGTAGCTTTAAAAAACAAAACAAAACAATACCACTCAAATAAAAAGGAGCTACCTGAACAATGGTAGACCCAAAGCTAAGTTCGAGAATGCCATACGTAAGGGAGTTAAAAACTTCCACCTCTCTGGGTATGGTGGTGAATACCCATAACCCTAGTTACTTGGAAGGCTGTCAGGATTGGAAGTTCAAGGCCAACCTGGGCAATTTAGCAAGACCCAGTCTCAAAAAATACAAAGGGCTTGGGTTCAATCCCAGAACAGTACTGCAAAACAGAACAGAACAGCTGGGTGTGGTAGTGCATGCCTGTAATCCCAGCACTATGGAGGCTGAGGCAGAAGGATCCCAGCAAGTTCGAAGCCACCCTGGACTATATAGTGAGTTCAAGGCCAGCTGGAACTGCATAGTGAGACCCTGTCTCAATGAACAAAGAAACAAAAAACAGAACAGAAAAAACAAAAACACTTCTAGCTCAAATAAGTTACCATTTGTGAAAATGCATGTTGGTTAAATTGGGAAGGGAGAGATTCTGAAGAACTGGCAAGCTCACCAGCTATAGTTATGCCTGCTGATTTGCTGCCCAACACCCTACCACCATTTGGGTAAAACACTGTCCGGAATTTCCACAGAGAGCCGCTACTCCCCAGTTCTGCCCTGGACACCAGGAGGAGACTGAGCCAGACTCACGAGGAGCCCTGGTGGGCATAGACTAACATCAACCGTAGTATCCAGGACAGTGGTGTGACACTTGTCCTATGGACAGCTGGGTTCAAGGCTTTTGTGTCACTGTTGGGCAGGGGGAGCTTTCCCGTCCATGGGTCTGGAAGACAACAGAATATAAAAACCACTGTTGCAACCATGTTATGGACCTGAATGGAAAATCTGGGAATGGAGCAAGCAGAGCTGAGAGAAAAAACTGGATTTTAGTGGCATGACTGAAGATCAATCTATCATTGGAACTTTAAATTTTGGTTATGGACACCAATAAATTTAAGCTCTTTGTTCAACATTTTGGATCATGTTTTATGGCACTTGAACCGGACTCCTTGTAAGTAGTATGCAGCAGGGTTATAACAGAAAGAGATCCAAGGAGGAATTGTGTGACAGAGCTGTTTGGACAGGTGCAGGTGGCCTGATTTAAACGATGTGTGACAACCTGGGTTTATGTGAGGATCTAAGGTTTGTAGCCTGTCATCCTCACATTGTGGCTGATATTAGCAAATTGTAATTACAAAGTAGCTACCATGATGTAAAAGAATAATTTGATTTTAAAATTTCCTGTGAGTGCTTAGGGTTTATTCCACAGACCTGCTTGAAAAAAAAAATCAAAGCCTAAGAAACCTTTTGAACTGGCTAATACGTGCTTCCTTTTCCATTCCTCACTTTGGCATAGATTCAAAGTTCCTTACTCATATCCATTTAAAAACAACTGGGTGAGCAAGTCAGTATAATATGGAGCCAATCAAAGTTCTGGAGACAGTGTTGTGGGAGACAGTCACCTGAGGATATATTATCTGGGATCTGCCCAGCCTTTGAATGAGCAGGAAGTGAGACATGTAAGGAGATGACTAATCTCAAGCTTTTGTACACTGGCTTGCCCCAAGGATGCACGGCTGAGCTGAATATTAACACCTACTGGTAACCTAGCACTGAGAGTCATCAACTCTAATCCTTCCTTCCCCAAACATGCAGAACATTTAGAAGGTGCCAGAAATTTTGCCAGATGTGAGAACAGTTAGTTGGCATGGCACATTCCATGCCCCTGCAAAGCTTAGAGTCTAATGAGAAAGGCAGACAAGTAAATGAAAATGCAGTACATGTTGTAAGTGCCAAACATGAGTGATAGGGGACTTTGGAGGTAGAAATGGATATGGAGAGCTAGCTGAGAGGGAACTAGATGACAAAAGGTCTAAACAGCATGCTAGAAACCTTCCCCTTAGATGGTGGATAACGAGAGTCTTAGAAGGAGTTTTAACAAAGATAAGATGGAGAGGATATTTATCAATTGGTTTATCATTTCTAGGAGAGTCCTCACTGCTGACCTACATTGTAAGTGTGGTGAGTTCTTATCAATAATTCTATACCATGAGAACATGTTTCTGTAAGACAAATTGGGAATATCCCTCAGCCAAGTGTAGGTTAAGTATGCTAAGATGGTTGGGAAAGACTTGTTACTTCTAAGTAGCTGGGCCTGTAATAAAATCTCACAGGCTATTGGTGACCTTATTTTTCAGCAGGATTCGGTGGTAAAACAAAGGAAAGCTGAGAGCCTTTATAGAGAAAGGAACAAAGCAGATGTGATGGAAAAAGTGATAGAAGACTGCCCCAAGCATGTCCCAATCCCAGACTGCAGTCTGTCCCTGCATCCTGTATTTTTTCCTTTGGGTTCTATGAAAAATTTACCTTATAATGAATTTTGCTTTTTCCTTAAGCTCGCTCAAGTGGCATTCTTTTACTTGCAATTAAAAGAATATTAACAGGTTCATATTTTAGAAAGATCACTCTAAGTACTTGTGGCTTAAAGGGGATGACTGGACACATGTATCTATGTCTCATCTTCTCTAAATGCCTATTGCAATGACAGAAAAATGACTTGATTGTGTAATAAGTGAAAATAAATACTATTTACATAACAACCTGTGCATGGATGCTCATAGTGCAGGGTCAGGGTCTGTAAACAGGGAGACTATAGAATAGGGCCCTCATTAGGTCTTCTAGCTAATCCTGACTAGGAGTTAAAAACAAACTTTACGAGAAAAATTCCCCTAGAAAACAGGGCAAGGAAGGGAGTAGAGAAAGAGAGAAAAATCAGATAAAGAAAGGCACCAAATGGCCTTGGAACTTGCACCAAGAGACCAGAGAGAGGAGGAGCTGACAGGCGGGACATAGGGAGAAAGCCAAGTGTGCCAACGATAAGCCACCCCCACACCAAGGAGCATGTAGGGGAAGCGGGGTTGGGGGTACTGACTAACTTTAAGGCAGTGTGTACTCACACTTAAGCACTAACAGACATATACATATATATGTATTCACTCTAGAGTGACTATATTATTCACTCTAGGGTCATTACAGACTACAGCACACATCTACACATCCCCTTACTAACTCTGAGCTACACATGAATAAGGGACCCCCTTGCCAACTATCCATCCATTCCAAAGGCAAGGCCTTGAAAAGTAGGTCAAGGACAAGTAAATAGACAGAAAGAAGCTGTGCACAGACCACTGGGAAAAAAGTGACCTTAGGCAGAGGTGCCCAGAAGCCAATCCGGATATGTCAAGTTCTGAGTGGGTATGGGAAGGGCCTCCATTTTTCTGGAGCCCTATACCCTGATTCTTTCTTATCAGGTTAGCTAACTGTTGTCTCCTTCCCCCCCTCTTCCTTTTCCTCTTTACAAACAAAGTATCTCCCTTTTGTTAAACTTTGTCCCTCTATTTTTTTTTTAATAGAGTCTCACTATGTAGCCTAGGCTGGCCTTGAACTCACGGCGATCCTCCTGCCTTCAGCCTCCCAAGTGGATTACAGGCATGCGCCTCTATGCCCAGCCTGATTTTTTACTAGGGCCTGTGTGTAAGATCCTGGTGGGCTTCTCTGACAGCAGAGCGGCAGTGCTTGTCCCCCAGATAAGATATCTTTGGTTTCTTGACTGGGAACTAGACATGACAATAGCAGGATTAATTATTAGAACCAAAATGTTGAAAAAAAAAAAAGTGTTCACCAACAAATGAATAGACAAGGACCGGAGTTCCATCTCTGATATCAAAACAAACAAACAAACCACAAATGAATAGATAACAAAATATGACATATGCATAAAGTAGAATATGTGTAGTAGAGAATTTGGCCTTGTTCAAGAAGAAAGTCTGGCCTTTCCCCTTGGTTTCTGGGAGGTCATTTCTGAGCCCTTGGAATGCTTTTCCTGATAGGAGAATCTTTGTTTTGGGGCCTTAGATCATACTGGATAGTTTTTAACAACATAAATTAGGGTGGGGCCTGATCACACCCTTATAGTCCTAGAGTGAAACTAACAATGTGACTGTAGGTAGGGATTTAGGTCAGATTTAGCCTGTAGATCTAGGCCTAAAGGTTGAAATCATGCTTTAGTTTTTTTTTTTTTTGGTACTGGGGATCAAACTCGGGTCCTTCTGCTTTCGAGGCAGGTGGTGGAACCACTGAGCTTCAACCCTGGCTGGGTTGAAATCAAATATATGGGGAATCAATCAATCATACTTACATAACAGAGCCTGAATCAGTCAGCTCTTCATTGTTGGGATGAAATACTTGCCTCACACTGTTTAAAGGAGGAAGATTTATTTTAGCTCACAGTTTCAGGGGTTTCAGTCCATGGCTGGATGGCTACAAGGCAGAAACATTATGGCAGAAGGGCATGGTGAAAGAAAGCTCCTTACTTCATGGCAGCCAGGAAGCAGAGAGCACAGGAAGAGTCAGAAGGAAAGATACACCCCTCAAGGGCATGCTCCAGTGACCCTCCTCCAACTGGGCCCTGCCTCTTAATAGCCCATTCAGCTATAAACTCATTAGTGGGTTAATGCATTGATGAGCTTAGTGGCTTCATGATCCAATTCACCTTCCAAAAGCCCCACCTCTGAACACGAGATATTTTAGATTCAGCAATAACAGAGACCTACTAAAAACTCTGGACATCAAAGCTCAGTGAATTTTCCTGGTTGGCAATATTTCATGAATATTGTCACATGTCAAGGGGAGGAAAGTAATGCGCCCTCCATGGGGAGAGGGTAAGGGAAACTTTGGGTTTGGAATTTGCTGAACTCCACCCTGAGCATCTTTTCTTTAGCTGCTCTTTATGTGCATCCTTTACTGGTAATAAAACATAACAGTGGTGTAACCTGGGGGGCGGTCTTTCTATTGAATTATCAAATTTAAAGGTAGTTTGGGGAACCCCTTGTGCCTGTAGTTGGTGTATGAAGTCAGTCTTGTGGGGAAGCTGCCCTCTAACCTCCTCAGAGAAAATTATTCAACAACACGAATGATACCACATGCGTGAACCTTAAAAACATGCTAAATGCAAGAAGCCAGACACAAAAGACCACACACTGTATTATTCCATTTATATGAAATGTTCAAATTAGAAAAATTCAAAGAAATACACAGTAGATTAGTGGTTGAGAGAAAATAGGAAGTGACTTCATAGTTATAGGGGTAATGAAAATTTTCTGGAATTTGATAGTGGTGATTATTGTCCATATCTATGAATATACTAAAAACTATTGAACCGTTTATGTATGTGAATTATGTTTCCATGAAGCTGTTATTTAAAAAATAACATAACACCTAGAACATTATAACATTAGAACATTAATAATCGGGCATAAATCTGATGAAAAATGAATAAGCTTGGCCCCTACACTAACAAGAGCACATATTTAGGAGAAATTATAGAAAATCTACATAAGTGGAAGAACAATCCATGTTAGATAGATCTGAATACTTAATATTGCCAGTATGCCAATTTTCCTCAAGCTGACCCCCAGATTCAAAGCAATCTTGATTGAAATTCTCGTACTTTTTTCTTTTTGACAGTACTGGGGATTGAACCCAGGGCCTTGTGCATGTGAGGTAAGTGTGCTGCTATTGAGCTGTACCACAAGCCCCCAAACTCTCATGTTTAACGTATTTGTGTGTGAGTGTGTGTGTTTGTAGGCATGTATATGCGTATGGGTCTGAAATAGTACGTAAAAATGCAAAACACCAAACCAAAAAAAAGGACAAACAATGATAAAACCAAACCCACCAAACCCACCAAAAAACATAATGTACCAGGTCAATACTGAAGAACAAAGCTAGAAAATTTATATTACCAGATATTAAGACTTACTATAAAGCCACCATAATTAAGAGAGTGGTATGAAGGTGTTACCATAAAACAACTGTAATTTAGAGAGTATTAAGGCAAGGATAGACAAATCAGCCAATGGAACTGAATAGAGAGACCAATAACATACTCACAATGAAGGCTCCTCTATAGTTTGGGGATGGAGGATTGTTCTTTTCAGTAAATGATACTGAAACAATTGTTTAGCCACATGGAAAATAATGAACCTCATACAATCCACAAAAATTAATCTCAGATGGATTTTAGACCTAAATATGTTTTTTGTGTGTATTTCATTTGTTTTGTTTTTGAGACAGGGTCTCACTATGTAGTTCAGGATTGCCTTGAACTTACTATGTAGCCCAGGCTGGCCTCGAAATCACCACAATCCTCCTACCTCAGCCTTCCAATGCTAAATGTGAAAAATAAAATAATGAAATAGAAGTTCCAGAGGTTTCTTCTAAGAAGAAAACACAGTGGAATAACTTCATGATCTTTGCCTGCACAAGGATTTCTTGAACAGGGCACAAAAGCACTAACCATAAAAGAAAATATTAATAAGCTAGTATCACTAAAGTTAAGAACTCTGTTCATCTTGAGGCAGGACACAGGAACTAGAATTTCTCTTCTTGAAGGTAGAAAGAAATTCTAATTTTCCTCCACCTTTAGCTGCCTGTGAAAAATTCTCTCATGTATGTCATCCAGTAATAGGTCATAAGACCTTCCTCATTCCAGATGGTTCTCCATAATCAGGAGGAAGGAATGCTGAAGAATCTGAACAGGCAAGCTTCACAGGGCTCCCTGCCCAGGCTATCAGCAGTCATGCCTATGCCATGAAGTCTCCATAAAATTCCCAAAAGGACCAAATTCAAAGAGTGTCTGGACACCTGAACACATGGAAGCTCACAGGGAGGTGAATAAGATTCACTCACGTGCCTTTTAGACAGTGCCCTAAATACCCCTTTGTCTGGCTGCTTATTTGTGTCCTTTGAAATATTCTTTACAACCCGAGGGCGGTGGTGCACACCTGTAATCCCAGCACTCTGGGAGGCTGTGGCAGGAGGATCACAAGTTTGAGCCCATCTCGGGCAACTTAATGACATAGTGAGTACTTGTCTCAAAAATTTTTTTTTTTTTTTTGCTTTCATATTGTTTATTGTCAAAATCCACTGAAATATCATGTTTCCTAATTTTTATATCATTGAGAGTACTCTAATAACTTTAAAATTTCATTTTCTGATTGTGACATGATTCCAAAATCACAGCATTTTCCCAAAGTTACTGATTTGATTATGGGCTGTAAGACCGCTGTCCTTACCAAACACTCCGAGGAGCTGACTGTAGTGAAGCACACCCAGGGATCCCAGTGGTGCCTCCAGAATGTAAGACCAAGGGCCTTACCAAATGCTCCAAGGAGCTGACTGTAGTGAAGCACACCCAGGGATCCCAGTGGTGCCTCCAGAATGTAAGACCAAGGGCCTTACCAAATGCTCCGAGGAGCTGACTGCAGTGAAGCACACCCAGGGATCCCAGCGGTGCCTCCAGAATGTAAGACCAAGGGCCTTACCAAACGCTCCAAGGAGCTGACTGCAGCGAAGAACACCCGGGAAGGAACACACCAGACAAGTTGGAAAGTAAAACAGACCTTAGTCTGGCCAGACGGCACTCCCAAAGAAAAGCAGCTTAGAGAGGCCTCAAATTTTGTTTTTTAAATGCTGGGAATATAGCTCAGTGTGAAGGCCCTGGGTTCAATCTCCAGCAACACAAGAGGAAAAAAAAAATCCTTTACAATAAACCACTCTGAGCTGCTCTAGCAAATTAATCAAATTGGTGAGAACTCCAGTTTAAAGCTAATTGGCCAGAAATTCCAGAGGCCTAGATTTCTGACTGGGTCTGAAATAGGAGCAGACATGGGGACTGAGTCCTCGATCTGTGGAATTTGACTCTACCTCCAGTAAAACTCCAAGTAGTGTCAGAACTGAATTGGGCTAGAGAACACCAGTCTAGTGTTTGCTGCAGAACTGATTGCTTGGTTGCTGGTGAGGAGAAATCCCCACACTTTTCAGGCTCACAGAAGTGGTCTGTGAAGAGTATATCATAGGAGAAATTGAGTTTGAGCATGCTTTTTCTACTTTGCAGTTACACCTCAAACCAAACAAACCAATCCCTAGAAGTGATTCACTTGAAAGCAACACTGGAAATCCAGGCCAGTTATTGTCAGAGCACCAAAATAGGACTGACCTTTTTAAATTTTATTTATTTATTTATTTATTTATTGGTACCGGGGATTGAACTCAGGTCCTTGTGCTTTCGAGGCAAGCAGTGGAACCACTGAGCTAAATCCCCGGCCCTGACTTATTTTTTTAAAAAGGACTGATTAATGAAAGATATGAAGCAGATTGATAAAACACACAGAGCCCCCCAAAACAAAAAACAAAAACAAAAACAAAACCACACAGAGCCAAGGTGCCTAAACACCTACATAAAAGTAGAAAAAGAGGGTCCCTGGAGAAGTAAACTCTCTTAGAAATCCAGAGAGGCCAGTAAAAAGAAACTGAAACAATCATGAGCAGGAGCCACAAATATCTTCTCCCATCTGCATCATTCTTGGCTGTTTTAGAAGCAGCTCAAAGCTGGAGCTGAGGGGTTGTGGTTCAGTGGTAGAGCACAGGCTTAGCGTGCATAAGGTCTTGGGTTCAATACTCAGCACTAAACAAACAAAAAAGTAGCTGATTTCTACTTTTGCCCCTGAAGTGAAACTTTTAAGTGAAGCTTACTACCTACCAAATTAAGATGCAAATCATGAAAGAAGAGGCTCCCAGAGAAGGCATCGGAACCAGAGAAAGTGGCCACTGTCCCAGGTTTGCTGTGGTAGCCAAGAGAGAGGTTCCAGGCACTACTTTCCTTACCTCCCACCTTTGCCTCCTGCTCTGCACAGTCCTTGGAGCTGGAACCTCTGTACCCAAATCTTCATTTATTCCTAACACAGCAGGGAATCTCACCCGGGCTGGAGACACATGTCTCAACTCTTAATGTCAAAGGGCCAAGACCCTTAAGCAGAAATGAGGACAGTCAAAAATCATGCAATTGCACTGGACTTGGTGGCAGATCCCTGTAATCTCAGCACTCAGGAGGCTGAGGCAGGTGGATCACCAAGACTTCGAAGCCAGCCTGGGGCACATAGTGAGTTTGAGGTTGGCCTGAACTACATGATGAGACCCTGTCTCAAAAAACAAAACCCAAACAACAACAACAAAAACCAAGCAATTAAAAAACAAACAAACAGCAGGCCGGGGATTTAGCTCAGTGGTGCCACCACCTGCCTTGAAAGCAAAAGGTCCTGAGTTTGATCCCCAATACAAAACAAAAAACAAAAAACAAAAAATTATGCAATTAGGGAAAGCCACCTGCAGAATCATTAAATGTAACAAGTAAGTGTACAACCTCCTGATGGGACCAAAGTTATCACCAGTACAGAAATAAGACCCACCCTATAAAAAGAAGTAGGGTTCTTGGGAATTAGAAGGATGACTGCTGATATAAAAAAAAAAATCTTGCAACAGATGGCTGAAGTAGAGCAAAATGGGCATGGATGGAGATCAAATTTGCAAAGAGGAAGTTCACAAAATTGAGTTAGGGCAATCTCCCATATTCTGTGAATAAAGGCAAGAAAAGGAAGCAAGTAAGAAAAATACTAAGAGTCATGGAGGCTACAGGCAAGTTGTTCTTTTGTTTTTTTTTAAATTTTCAACCAAAAGTTCCAGAAAGGACAAATAGAAAAAATTGAAGGAATGAAATATTAAAAGTGTTTTTTAAATCTCTCCTGAAGAAAGGCTCAAGTCTACAAATTGAAAGGGACTCATGAGTGCTGAAAAGGAATAATGAAACACTGTATCCTCAGGAAATGTCTGGGTTCCTGGGAAATCCCAAAAGGTGTGTGTGTGTGTGAGGATCCAGGGGAACAGAAGGCTTTTTTCAGTTTTTCAATTTTTTATCTTTGGCAGCTATGGGGATCAAATTCAAGGTCGTACAAATATCAAGGAAATGTTTTACCAAATTCTGACAGAAAATTATTCTGAATTCAGAATTTATACCTCATGAAGTATCACTTAAATATTCTGAATCCAGGATTCCATACCCAGTTCATCCACAATGAAGTGAGAGCAACATTAACATGTATTCACACATGCAAAGATTCGAAAAGTTTGCCATCCAGGAATGCTTTCTGCAAGAGACACATGAAGATCCACCAAGAGAAGGTAAAGAAGGAGGAAGAAGAGAGGGGAAAGAGGAAGACATGGGCTACAAGCAACATGGTTAGCAAGAAACCAATAAAACTGCAAAATAACTGGAGAAAGTATGTTTTGAAGGTTGTGTGTTGGCTGAGGTCGCTGATAATAAGGGGTCTTCGCTGTCAGCTGGCTTTTATCAATGAGGATCTGGAGCTCAGCCTTCACAGCCTTTGGGCCTCCTCAACAGTGGTGCTGGCCCTGCTGATTTGCTTCTGAGGTCTGGCTGCTTTCTCGTCAGGGCAGTGAGTGGCTGTGAAGCTGCTCAGCTGATCCTGGGTCCGGAAGTGGGCTCCAGTGGACTTCCTGTCAGGGTTTGTGGAACAAACAGACCAGCAGCTGAGGCTTCCTCTGAGGCAGATGACTGGGGGGGGGGGGGGGGGGAGGCAAACAGAGAGAGGTCGAGACAGAGACAGACAGAGAGAGAACCCAAACTGTTTCACTTGGTGTTGTCCCCACCCCATCATTTTAGGTCAGGGAGGATGGATGCTATACCAGCTGCTGCCTTATCCTGTCTGGTAGAGTCTGAACTTTGCCCCCAAACCCAAATCTTCCTGCTGCCCCAGGTCCTGCTGTTGGGAGCACAGGGTATCTGAGTCCCTTCAGGGTGTGCTTGCCAATGTAAAGTGAGCGGGAGGGTGCTGTCATAAGCAGAGGGAGCTGAGGGTCTCTGCCTACTATGCTGAGCTGTCCCTTCCTGCCTGTGTTTGTTTTGCTTTTCTGAGAACACTGGTGTTTTGGGTGGGTGCTATGGTTTGAATATGGCTTGTTGCAGTCGCATGGTAATGCACACTTGTAATCTCAGTACTCACCATCCTGAGGCAAGAGGAGGCTAGCTGAATGCAAGGCCAGCCTGGGCTACACAGTGAGACCGTGTCTCAGATAGATAGATAGATGAAAGAAAGAAAGAAAAGAGAGAGAGAGAGAGAAAGAAAGAATGAACAAACAAACGAACAAAAGAAAGAAAGAAAGAAAGAAAGAAAGAAAGAAAGAAAGAAAGAAAGAAAGAAAGAAAGAAAGAAAGAAAGAGAAAGAAAGGGAGGAAGGTCGGTCCATGTTTATTACCTAGATATAGCAGCAGGGACATTTCTCCAGGACAGGACCCAAATTGCTTGACATGATGATTTCATTCTAGGAGGAGTGCTGGGTCTCCTTTCACAGTGGCCTTCAAGTGTTCTCAGATGTCATCAGCTAGGGGTAGATGTGTGCGGGTGGAGTAGGCTGTTAACAGACGGGACTCTTACTTTCATCAGTTTGAAAACCACAACTTTTTAACTGATAGAATTCATAAACTTCAAACATGTAAACTATTCCTGTTCATGCAAATGTCAAGCAAAAAGTCCAACACCAGAGTACCTCAGGCTCATGAAAATGAGACAGTCAAGCCATTCCTGAAAACAAGCACATATAAACTGTTTATGTATAATTTGCAGGCCTGCTAGTAGTCTTCCCAAACCAGCTTCTGGGAAAAGCAGAATATCATTTTTAGCCAGGAGTGTGGTCACCAAGCAATGGATTTTTCCAGGAGACACCTACAATATTTGATATCCAAACTCCCTGTCCTCTTTCCTGGCCTTATACCCAGATTGGAACCCACCAGGCAAACCCCAAACTTTGCATTGCAGGCAGGCACTGTGAAGTGCACCCTGGGGAAAGGCCTAGAAAGAGTGAGCCAGTGTTCAAAATGAAATCCTTCCACAGTATTTGTCTCCCAGCCTCTCCACACACTCCTGGGCCCCACAGCCTGCTCAAGGCTCTCCTGGAATCCCTTATTTGTGTCTTAGATGGTGGGTGGAGGCAGGTATGACAGCGCATCCCTGTCATCCCAGGACTCTGGGAAGCCTAAGCAGGAGGAACAGAGGCAGGAAGATTGCAAGTTTGAGCCCAGCCCAGGCAATTTCGCAACTTAGTGACATTCTGTTTTGAAATACTAATTAAAAAAAAAAATCTGGAGATATAAGAAGGGGTGGGGAACTGAGGCTCTCCAAGGGACTTTTCCTGTAAATCTGATGCTGTATCTATTTGTCAGGATCCACATTTGCTTTGGAAAGCCCTATATACTTGTGTCTCTGGTAAAAATAAGTTAACGTGATTTTTGAGGTCTTTTAAATTTTACTATTTTAACCATTTTTAAGTGCACAGTTAAGTATTAGGTACATTCATGTTGTGGTGCAAATATCACCACTAACCATCCACAAAGCTTTTTTTCATCTCAAAGAACTGAAATTCTATATCCATTATACACGACCGCCCCCCACCCCCATCCCTGGCAACCACCATTCTCTTGTCTCTATATTTGACTACTCTAAATATCCCATGTGAGTGAAATTATATAGTACCGTTCTTTTGTGAGTGGTCTCTTTAATTTAGCATAATTCTGCAAGGCTGTAGCTTGTGTCAGAACTTCCTTTTTATAGCTGAATAATACTGTAGATTATAAACCACATTTATTTATCCATTCATCTGTTTTAGGTTTGCATGTACCTTTTGGCTATGGTAAATATGGGATCAACTGAGACTAAGTTATTTCTTACAAAGGCACATTCCTCAGTTGGTTTTCAGTTTGTTTACAAACTAAATTAAGCTACAGTTTGGTACATAGGACTGGCCCAAATTTAGTTCGATTTAACACCACCAAGCTATTTTCCAGGAGACACCAGCTGGATGTCCTATAATTCAGTTCAATTCTGACACCTATCTACCTGTCCCATAAACCCACGCCCCCATTTCAGATGGCAATGCCAAGTGCCAGGTTGTGACCTGTGTTTCTTTTCTTTTTTTGTGGTACCAGGGATTGAACTCAGGACCTTGTGCTTGCCAGGCAGGCACAGCACTGAGCCACATTGCCAGCCCATGACCTGAGTTTCCGACTGGCTATAAATTGGGGTTCCTGGTCCCCAATCTGGAGTTCAGTAGTTTGCTAGGATGGTTCACAGAACTCACAAAAACACTACTTACATCAATTAAATGGAGATTATAAAAGATACAGATGAACAGCCAGGTAAAGAGAAGCAAGGTATGGAGGTGGAGTGGGGCTTCCATTCCCTCTCTGGGCCTACCACCCTCCTGGCCTCTCCACTATTTTAGTGACCCATACATCAAATCTCATGATGGGTGTGGTGGCACATGCCTGTAATCCCAGCACTCAGGAGGCTGAGAGGCAGGAGGATCGCCTCAAGTTCATGGCCACCCCAGGCTACATAATGAGCTTAAGGCCAACCTGAAAAAAATATCAAATCTTATTGTTCTGGAGTTTTTATAGTTTTATCTTTAGCTCCTCTTTCCTAGAGTTTGGTGGGTGGGACTGAAAATTCCAACCTTTTGACTGCCTGGTTTTTCTGAGGATGGCCTCTCCATCCTCAGGGTTTCCAGAGGGACCAAGTAAGTCATCTCCTCAGTCTAAACTCAGGTATTCTAAAAGGGGCTTATTATGAATATCAAAGATACTACTACACTCAGGAGATTTCCAGGGCTTTAGAAGCTCTGTGACAGGAACCTGGGACAAAACCAAATACTGTATTCTTATACTACAGTGTATCTTTGGCCTTTACCCTGGGATTTGTGAAGGAGAGAGAGAATTTCAGGGCTGAAGATGCCATCTTGAAATCAAGCATCAAAACTCTTTGATGAAAAACCCCCAGAAAACTCTTCGATGAGGCTATTAAAATATAAATGTCATAGAAGAAAGTGTGCTCTCCAAACCCTCTTTTAGAAGGTGTTGATGTATCTGTCACCCTTAAAAGAACTTTTTTAAAGCCTAATGTTTTCTCACCAATAATCTCTTTGCTCTAAATTTAACACTATTTCAATATTGTTTTAATTCTTGTGGTAAATACTAATGAGGAGATAATCTTTCATGTTGTGATCCAATGAACTTGCCACTGAGTGAATAATAAGTACATTAAAAAAATTTGGAGGAGGTCGGGGATTTAGCGTAGTGGTTCTGCCACCTGCCCCATAAGCACAAGGACCGGAGTTTGATCCCTGGTGCCAAAAAAAAGAAATTTTTTTTTGAGGGGCTGGGGATGTAGCTCAGTGGTGCTGCACCTGCCTGGCAAATGCAAGGTCCTGAGTTCAAGCTTCAGTACTGAAAAAAAAATTTTTTTTTTAAGGAAAAAAGTGAGCCCATAAAAAAGGTTTTATTTTTTTCAGTAACAGGGATTGAACCCAGGATCTCACACATGCTAGGTAAGCGCTGTACCACTGAGCTACATCTCCAGCCCTTTTTATTCATTTATTTTTTGTTTTTGGTACCAGGGATTGAACTAGGGTCCTTGCGTTTGCGCAGCAGGTGGCGAAACCACTGAGCTAAAGCCCCGGCCCAAGCCCTTTTTATTTTGATTTTGAGATAGCATCTCACCAGATTGCCTTGGCTAGCCTTGAACTTGCAATCTTCTTGCCTTAGCCTGGATTACAGTTGTGCACCACCATGCCCAGCAAAAATAATTTTTAAAAATCACTCAATCTGATATAGACTATACAATAACATGGATTGTGCTAAAGTATAATTCTTCAAAAACACGACTCATGCAAAAGTAAAATTAAAATCTATCTGCTGGGCATGATGTTGTGTACACATAATCCTAGTACTCTGGGAGGCTGAGGCAGCAGAATCACAAGTTTGAGTTCAGCCTGGACAATTTAGTGAGACACTATCTCAAAAATAAAGGAATAATAAGTAAATAAAAATAATAAAAAAGGGCTGGGGATGTATCTCAGGGCAAAGGCCTGGAGTTTAATTCCCAGTACCACACAAACAAGCAATCTGAGATTCAGCCTAAGATTCTGTCCAATTAAGATTCAGTAAGATGTTGACTTCAAAGGAGAACTAGTAATGTATTAAAGTACAAAGGAATTTGAAATTAGGATGAAAAAAAAATTTTTTTTCAGTACTGGGGATTGAACCGAGGGCCTTCATATTGAGTTACATCCTCAGATCTTTCCATTTTTGAGACAAGGTCTTGCTAAAATGCTAAGTTGCCCAGGAGCCTCCAGGAGTGCTGGGATCACAGGCATGAGCCAATGAAATGTGTTTGCTGATAGAAGCCAAACTGGTTTAACTAGTTAACATCACACAGGACAAAGTGTAATTATTGAGTTTCTTATTTTTTTACCTGGCAGAAATCACTTATATTTCTACTAGAAAACATGCATTTTCATTGCTATGAACAAGGATCTTTTGTGCTATCACCAGTTTCCTACAAGTTAACTTCCACCCATACAGAGCTGGAAAATACCTAGTCAATAGGAAGTCCACGAGGGTACAGACACTTTAGAATCAGATAATCTCGTGAAGTTCTAACAAACAGCACCCAATCCAGCACCCCACTGAAAGGACACGCAGTAATCTCTCTTGCCCATTTCCACATTTTGGACACTTTTCCTGACCGCATCAATGAAAGAAATGCATATAGAGTTAGTCTCCGACTTAGGGACAAGTTCTGTTTGGGGAGACGCTTCCTAAGTCGTATTCCTTTGTTAAGTTGGACAAAGTGAGTCTTATACCTTTGACACAGATACACAATGTAAAGCATAAAAACACCAAACACACACTCACACACAAATACTCTAAACAAACAATTTTTACTTTATAGTTACCCTAAAATGGTGGTACAAATAAATGTCTTGCCTCAAAAAAAAATGATGGTACACTACAACTGGCACATGGGGTCAACTGACAAGAAGAGCCTTACTAACTGGAAGAGGGAGGGTGGGAGGAGAAGGTGGAGCTGAAGGACCATCTGCAATGGCAGATGGAGGGCAAGATAGAATTCTGCTCAAACAGGGGTTTTTTGTTTATTTTTTGAGACAGGGTCTCACTGTATAGTGCAGGCTGCCTTTGAACTATGTAGCCCAGGCAGGCCTTGAATTCGCAGCCTCAGGCTCCAAAGTGCTGGGGTTACAAGCAGGTGCCACCACACCTGGCCGACACAGGAGTTTTGATGGATTCAATTGTCTACACTCTTGAAAAAAGATCCCGATGTTTGAGTAGTATTACACTATCACACTATGCAGTAAGCACAAGCGGCACAACTGTGACAACGTCCAGCGGACACGCGCTACTTCCGCAATTTGTTTGCATTTATGAATGTTCGTAATCGGAGGTCCCTTGGCACCTGTCAAAGTTTGAAGCTCGAAAGCTCCTAAGTCAGGGACTTACTGTATACATTTATATATATTTACATTTAATTACTCTGGAAGGCGCGGGGTGGGGATGGAGGTATAGGTTGGTTAAAACAAGTCTTAAGTGAATGGTTTCGCTTTTGAAACAATTACATGATTTCAAAGTTCATGGAGAGCTGACCTTACCAATACATAATTTAAATAGACTGCAACACGCACACTGTCCATCTACTTTCTAAAGCAGGCCCCTATCTCTGTTGAATAAAAATAATTTACAAAAAGGCTGCTATAAAAGCCCAGGGAGTTTATTTTTAATGACTTCTTTTTAAGATTGCCCAAGTTCCGCCCTTATATGGGTGTGTCTGCCTGTGGTTAGATTTGGGGCAAGCTCAGGGTGGAGAAAACAGCGAAGATTCGGGGTGAAGTGGTAAGGGTCCTGCACTTCAGGCGAAGAACAGACATCACCCGCTCAAAGCCTTCACTCTGGCTACTTCCTTTCCCCTCACCCCAGGGTGCAACTGCTGCCTCCTAGGCCTGCGCCCCGCCCCACACGGCTTCCCTCGCGGGCTCCTGCACCGGCGGGTCCCGGCGGCCCTTCCATGCCTCAGAGCTTTCCCTGAGGAGGCGACGGCCGCGCCCTGACAGCTTCTCGGCCGCCTCCAGCACTCGGCTTCCGAGGATTTATTTACCTCTTTAGTAAATCTGTCTCTCTCCAACCATCCGTGTCCACCCTGAGGAGGTCCCCACCCCACTTCTGGGTCACTCTCTGGTCTCGGTCCCTTTGCGCCGCCTTTCTCACCCCTCTAGATTCCTCCCCGATGTCCTTGTCATCTTTCCCGCCGTTGCCTCCCTCCGTGACGCCCCGAGCTGGGTCTCCTCGGAGCTGCCAGCCCCCTCCAGCCCAGCTCCGCCACCTCACGCAGGGTCTCGCCCCGGGGGCCACCTCTGAGCGAGACGGTCGCCGCCTCCCCCCTTAAGCCGAGTCGCTCTCCTCGCACCCTCACCACCCCGCTTCCTCGTCCTTCCTGGGCGCCTCCCCGAGCCGCCGGCCGGCCAGGGTCCCCACGCGCAGAGGCCGCCCGCTTCCCCCGGAGCACTGTCCGGAGCGTGGCGTCTCCCTCTGACAACGGGCAGCCAGCGGCCCGGCCCCGTGCGGGGCTCGCGGCGGGTGCGGAGGGAACGAGCGCGGTCCCAGGAGGGCGGGCTGTGAGCCCGGGACCGTCGCCCTCACCCCCTTGCGCGGCGCCGGAAGCCGCAGGGCCGGCGCCCTCCCCGCGGGCCCGCCGCCTTATCTCGGCGCCTCGGGGCGCGTCGGGAGTCGCGGAGGAAGGCGGCAGCATGGGCCGGGGGCCTCGGGGCGCGCGCAGCCTGCTACCGCTCCTGCTGCTGCTCGGCCTGGCGCAAGGCTCGACCGCGGTGCCGAGGGCAGATGGTGAGTGACGGCGGGTGCGAGCCACCCACGGGGTCCCCTGGCGGGGCCCTCGGGGACGCCCGACGCGCCCGAGACGCTTCCTCGCCCCAGGGCCGGGCCAGCCCGGGGCCCAGCCCCGCGGGGAGCGCAGGTGGGGCCGGCTCTAGCGGATTGGGGCCGCGAAGGCGGAGCTCGGAGAAGCAGGAGGGGCTCCCGCCCCCGCCCCAGGGCCGCCTGGATTGGGGTTGCGGGCGGCTTGGCCCGCGCCCCTTTGGGGCTGGCAGCTGCCCTGGAGCGCGTGGTGAGGTGGGGGCTGGGCGAGCGCCGGCGATCCGCTGCACTGTCACGCTTCCGGCTCTGCTGTGGCTTTCGTATGACAAACTTTTGACCTGAAGCAATTTTCTTTCTACTTAAAATTTTTTTCATTTCGATGAAGAACTGGTTGTTAAATATGGTGAGGAAAGTGTAAGGAAGTTTTCAGGAATAGAATACATTCATTCATTCATTGAATAGGCGGCCGTCGAACAGCTTCTCTAGGGCAGAATGTGAGCAGTGTATGCTGGCCCTCGCTGAGTCCAATTCTAGGCAGTTGCAATAGTAGCTGTCGTTTTTCCTCCTCTGCAAAACACAATGTTGACTGTCGTGGGAGTTGAATCCTTTCAGAGAGGATTCAGAAAGTAGGCGAGGTGACATTCACCCACATAATGGTAATAGAATGCAGAATGACAGAAGTGCTCAGGGAAGGTGTGGGTGGTCCAAAGAGGGAAAGATTATGTCTGGGGAGAGGTGGTGTTGTGGATGACGCGACCCGTGACCTGGACCATCAAGGATTGGCAATATTTGTATTCAGTAAAAGAGAGGCATCCTAGCTCATAGCAGAGGACAGACAGATCTCCACAAATGTGTGAAGAATGAATGAATTCCACACATGGAAGCATACGGGAGGGAGGCAGTAAGGGGTGGGACCTGTCACTGTTTGGTTTGGAAGAGATGGATGGGAAGTGGGGATACTTTCAAGGGGAGCAGGCCAAGGCATGAGGACTTCCCCATTCCCGGGTGATGGGAAGCCACCGGAAGCCACTGCAGGTTCTTTTTATAGGAAGTGATAATAAAAAGCACATGTAAAGGCACCATCTCCCTTGGCCATAGTTTCCTTAATAAAACTGAATACTGATCCAGACGTGGAAGGGAATTTCCATGTGAGGAGAGATAAGGGGATTTTGTGGCACAGATTCCCATACCCTCAAATTCTTTCTGCTTTGGGACTTAGCATTTGTCATTGGTGGGTATTCTCTTGATGGCTCAACCTTCTGGAGTGGGTACTTCTGAAACATCCAACCCTCGGGTAGGCTTTCTTACTTCCTTCCCTAATTTAGTCTCCCACGGTAGTATGCATGAGAGCTTGTGGACACTAGAGGCCTATTTCAAGATCTTTGTGTGAAGACTGTCTCACCTAGGAAACTGTCCATTGTGGTCCCATTGAATTGTTAGGGTAAGATGACTGAAGACTGAACACAGTAGCTACCCAAGCTCTTTTCCTTTTTTTCATCTTTCTCCCTGGGTCTTTTTTTCATCTTTCATCCCAAGGTCTCTGCATACATTCTACCACCGAGCCACATGAATTTGGGAAATGGAAGGCAGGGAGGCTTGGTTGCTCTCCTCTTCTTGCGCAGACCTTGTCTCTTCATTTGGAAGCTTGGAGAATCAGGTTTTAGGAAAGGCTGGCTGCTGACAGTGGACTATGTGGGGGAAACCCTGGAGGCTTAGAGCCCTTTGAGGCGGTTGTTGCAAAAGGTGGTTCAGCAGGTCTGAGAAGGAGACCCACAGCGGGGGAAGCGGGCTGCTTGTGGATGATAAGGTGGGAGTGGTGCTGGAAGGAAGGACTTCATAATGAATGTGAAGGTGTAATGGAGCAGAAGAGGAAAGGTACACAAAGGTTTTGGGACACAGTAACTTGGATGCTTGGTTCTGAGACCAAACTCCTGGGCCCTTAGACTGATATTCATTAAAAACATGACTTGTGTTTTCTTTTTTGTTGTTGTTGTTGTTTTTTTTGTTTTTGTTATGTTTTCTTTTGAAGCAGTCAGGAGCTTGAAAGATACTTTTGCTAAAAAAACAATGACTCTTCATCTACAGGGGCCTAATAGGTAACTAAAATAGAACATTCTGTATCTATCATTCTGTATCTTTATTCTGTATCTGCCTCTTTTATTCACTTAAAACTTTGGGTCAAATTCCCACTCAGATCTCCATGTAGGCCTATCAGTCGTTTAGGAGTGTCTGTCTAAAAGCTGGCAATGCAAAGTTGATTAATTTTAAACTTACGTGACCTTGGGGCCAGGATGTAGCTAAGCCTTGCTCTGTCTGCCTGGAAAGCAAAAAGTCCTGAGTTCGATTCCCAGTAAGGGGTGGTGGTGGGGGACTTATATGACCTATCTCATCCCCTTGAAGAGTGAGGACACACAGAGAAGCTATTTACAGGGACATTCAACTACCAATGAGTGCCCAGAAATCTTCAGTCATTTCACTAAACCGAAGGTAACCTTAGATTCCAACAGAGCCTTCACAAAACCATCGTCAAGCTGAAATAATTGTTTCATGGAGAAGGGATTAAGTGATAGGGACTTCTTCAGAGCCATTTTGTAAAACTGGAACTGAGATAATGATTGACCAGACCCTAGCCCACCTCACCCCCCCTTTTTTTCCCCTCAGGCCCCTTTTAAAAAAATAAAAAACTGGCCTGTTCCTTTGTTAATGGGCCAATCGGATCCTCTATAAAGGCTGAGTCCCATTCGACTCCTTCCAGTTTTCTCTTACTTTGCTACTTGACCTAATAAATCTGCTTGTGCCTCTCTCTTACTGATGTGTCCTGAAATGTTTTTCTGCGATGAGAATCAAAACCTGCTCCAGCTGTGTTGAGGTCCCCCACTCCTCATTTGAGGGGATGTCCTTGGAGCAGAAAAAAGATTTGAGAAGAAAGAGGATTGGTTGTTTTGGATGTCTTGAATTTGAAGTGCCGTTGTGGCTTTTGGACAGATGAAATCAGTAGGGAGTTAGGATGGTGGCATGTGTGAGTGATGTAGACCTGATGGTCACTTGAAGCCTTGAGGTTGGCCAGATTAAGAAGACCAAGGACAGGTTCTTGGGGAAGACAATTTAGCTAGATGGTAGGTGCAAGGAGAGGAGACAGAAGTAGCTAGCTAGATAGTTTGGAAGACTGGGTGTTGAGGAAGCCAGGCAAGAGGAAACTAAAAGGTGTGAGCAAAAGGTTTTGGACTTGGTGACTGGCCAGTGGCACAACCCAGGAAAATAGTGTGTGTGGCAGCCAGATGCAGGGACATGAGAGTGAGGCAGAGACTTTAGCTACAGAGTACTCTTTTGTTTCTTATCATTTATTTATTTATTTAGCTGTACTGGGAATTGAACCCAGGGGCTTCCCACTGATCTATAGCCTCAGCCCTTTTTTGTTTTTTATTTTGTGACAAGGTCTTGCTAAATTGCTAAATTGCCCAGACTGGGCTTGAACTTGTGATCCTCCTGCCTCAGCCTCCCAGAGTTCTGGGAGAATACGCATGCACCACCAGCCCTGGCCAGAGTACTGTTCAAAGAAGTTAGAAGGAAGAGGAGGGGAAGGAACCATTCATTTGGGTTGGCCAGGTCAGTACAAGAGTTTTCTGGGGAGTAAAGCATAAGCACGTTTTAGATTAAAAGATGTTATTCAGGGCCAGGGATTTAGCTCAGTGGTTTCACCCCCTGCTTTGGAAGTGCAGGGTCCCGAGTTCAATCCCCAGTACCAAGAAAAAAAGATGTTATTCAGTATTGAGGGAGAGAAATTGAAAATACAAAAACAAGTGAGATACCTCATGGAGCCACCCACATAAAGCTGGGCTATAAATAGGAGAGGTTTATCTCTAGAAAGGGTAGGAAGGAGGAACCACTGTTTGCTTCCTCCCCAACCATCTACTTTGTGAGTGCTGTTCATATTTCAAAACTGGCCTGTTGCTGTCACTTCTGGGAAGCCCGTTAGAGCTCTGAACTTTTCTTTGCAGTACCATGGACACCGTGCTGACGCCTCTATTGTACACTTATACTGTATTGCAAGGTCACTGTTTATTTTTATTTATTTATTTTTAAATTATTTTGTTTTTTTGAGACAGGATCTTGCTACATAGTCCAGGCTGGCCTTGAACTCTTTATGTGGCACAGATTGGCCTCATGCTCACCATCCTGCCTCAACCTCCTGTTTGTTAGACCGAGCGCCTTATGAGTAG